CTGAGGGAGCACACACACAAAACAAGACACTTTATGAATGTCAAATTCAAGCAAAAACACGAACATGTACACAAAATACCACTAACCAGTACACTGTGATACTGACATAGCGTGAAACTACTTTCAGTTCCAGTTCAGCAATATTTTTTGATGTAAAGCATCTCCTGTAAGTAGCTTGTAGTTCACTCACTCACATACTCGCTCATTCAAGTCTCCACAAGAGGGCGCCATAAGCAGTCAAACAACTTCATGCTTCACAACAGCAGTGCTTTACTTCAGTGACACTGTGTGCCCTTGTTAGCGATATATTTGATATAAAATGAGAATTATGTTAATGAGGTCCATAAAACAGTTGCTGTTACCAAGCTGTTTATTTATTTTTTTTATTTTAATATAATTTAAATTCTATTGTGTGTTGTAGCCAAATTATACAGGACCTGACAAGTGCAATGTATGGCATTAACTAGGTCCTTCAATTTGCTTTTAAAGAACAGTTCAAAAACAGCTGACAGACAAACAAACAAACAAACAAACAAACAAACAAACAAAAACATATAAATAGTTTCCTTTCTGGAAATGTGGTTTCTGTCTGTTTACAATACTGAGTAAGGCTCCCTTTGGTGTAATTATGATACTACGATACATTGTGGCTAAAAACATGTACCTCTAAAATGGTAACTTTACAGGAGAAGGCAAAAACGTTCTTAACTGTAACTATTCTTAACTGTCTTGTTCTTTCTCCCTGTCTTTCCTGTAAGGCAGCGGCTCTACAAGACTGCAGCTGGAAGCCTCAACCCTGTTCCACCAACTACATAAAATTATATGAAACCATAAAAACTATATACAAAAACTCCTGTATCAGATTACAAGGCCACAGTTATTCCCTGATGAGTCACCCCAGAGCAGAGGTTATCTCTAGAGCAGCAACCCCAGAGCAGAGGTCAGCCCCAGAGCAGGGGTCATCGTCAGAGGAGGCGGATTGATAGTGCTGTCAGCAGCAGTGAGCAGGAGCTTGTTAATGCGAGTTTTATTTGCCCTGGGGAACAGCGCTGCCGACAGGCCGCACTAACCCAGTCCAGCCCTACGTTTACCCCATCAGACTCGGGCCGATCGAGGCCAAGCGCTCAGCCAAGGCCAGACCAGACTGACAGGCTGTTTGGACAAGGTCAGGGGTAAAGGCAGGGGTTGGGCCCCTCGCTGGAAAGCAGTGCTGAGTGATCGACGAAGATAAAGAGGAAGAGAGAGTAGACAAAAATGGGGCTCATACCACTGCTTACTGCTCCGCCTGCTACATAGATCCACCAGTTTGGAAGAAACGCTGTCTTTATAAAAACACATGCGATGTACAGTGTTTATTAACACAGAACATGTGTTTGATGAACGTCTGTAGCAGCGGTGTACAACTACTCGATACTTAAAAGGGCCCATCTATTTTATTCCTTTTAAGGTCCAGTTAAAATATTTGTGTGGTTTTATGTACCAAAAATGGTCATAATTCATATGTATGTGATCATTTTCCAACCTATCTTTATCGCTTAGAAATAAAGAAGCTGTTGATATATGTAAATAAGCTTTGTTCTGATTGGCTGTCCTGAATTGTGCCTCATTCAAAAAGCCGTCAGAGTTGAAACACTTCTCAGAACTTCAGTATTAATGGGTGAGGCTAAACTGCTGCAGGGTGAACAGGTCGATATACGTAAACGAGTTGGTTCTCTTGACATCACAGAGGCAATGAATTCAAAATGGGCTGTTTTCAGAGCTTAGTTTCCCATGTATGTGCGGTACACTCTCAGAAATAAAAATACATGGGGTGGTACCATTAAAGGTACATCTCAGTACCTTTAGTCAGGGAACATAACTGTACCATAATCCATTGAAATTATATTTTCTAAGCTGTACTGACTCCACACACCCCATCTCGTCTCCAAGCTGTTTATTTTATTGTTCTGTTTTAGAACATTCGGTTATGAAAAAGGTACAAATATGTATTTTTCACCTTGGAAAAAACATATTTAAGGTACATAACTGGAACACAGTTCCAGAAAATCAGATTTTGTCAGTAATCTGTTCAACATGTTTACATGCATCAGATAATGGGAAACTCACAGAAGACGACGTCATGTCAACATAAAACTTAAACTTCACACGGCTTTATTTTTTTAAAAAACATCGCGCCACTATACCTGAAAATATGAACAGACATAATCTAGAAGATAAAGAGTATTTAAATCCTTTATTTTTTTAAGCATATAGTTGGTTTCAGCGTCGCTCCAATAGTGTTTTGCTGCATCTCTCTGCAACACTGCTTGCTTATTTCCGGTACCAGCGTCTGTTTTTGCACACGCGCAGACTGAGAAATCTGAATCAGAGTATACTGTTTACATGAACATTTGAATAATCAGATAATTGTTGAAATCAGATTATGATCAGATTATTGGGTGCATGTAAACGCACTCACTGTTGTACCTTTGAGGGAACATTTACATTGTTTGTACCATGATGAATGAAAAATGTTCCTGCACAGAACCTTTATTTCTAACAGCGTATGGACCGTTTTGAATGGTACCTTTTAAAACTTGTAACAATGTCTGCATATTGCTTCGAATTCTTATTTCAAAAAAGTGAGGGAAATTTGGTTTTCCATGATAATGTGCCTTTTTTAACCTAATCCCTGACTACATCTGTAGCAGACAGCAGATTACCACAAATGATTCTCACATGTTTTGCCATGACTCCGTGCCTAGAAATAAAAAGTGAAAACTCAAAACATTTGTAATAGAAGCCTACAGGCAGGTGCTGAAACAACCATGGTAATCAACCATACCATATAAAAGTGTGAGAGAGACTGCACTGAAAAACAGTGAAGCATTACTTTAATTTGTTTGTCTCCTGTTAATTCTCCTGCAGTTTTATTGCTGTTTAAATGAGAGCCACCTGATTCCGCCATTCAGAAGCTCCTAAAGGCTCAGTCTCACAAAGCACACAGTGCTCTGGACCAAGTTTCAGCCTCACAAAACCTGACAAATGGAACTTATTTTATGAGGACAGTTAACAACTCTTTTCTGTTAACCCAGGTTTAGATACTCAAGCTAAGATTATTTAAAAGCATGTCATCATGTTTATGATGAACAACCAACCGTGGGAAACATCAGCGGCTTATTTTTCAAAGAAGAAAACCACCACCCGTGTGTTAACGCTTACTGGTGTAATAACTACTTTATATTCATATCTATTTTGTACGATTAGTGACATTTCTTGGGACCGATGGCACAGACACCACAAAAAAGTGCAGACCAGAAAAGGCTCAGGAGGTCTGTCTCCATTAGAAAGCTGTCCCTGTTTGGTCAGTAAATCAGCCCTGATTGGTTCTACAGCTGCTTATCCGAATCCCGAACTTAACCGGCCCTGGAGCAGGTTAGATGTGCAGCATAAGTGGCCACGTTGATGTATTCTGGTAAAAAAGTATCCACCGTTGTGACACAAATCTTTGGTTAACTGAGATGTGAAGAAATATGTTGTGTTTCTTGCTGGAAAATATTTTTGAAACTTTGAAAAAATAAGTAACTGCTTGCTTCCATACTTTTGGCTTGCAGTGCATGTCCACATCAGCTTCACATTTGTTTGAGAGTGAGATCATGGCGTAAGATTGTGAGGTCATATTGCTAAACACAAATGCCCTGTACTCTCGTCGACCAGCCAAACCGCAACAATAAAAAAGTAAAGTTCAAAACCACAGAAATGCAAGCTGTGACGAGCACCAGCCAGAAAGTCCACAACGACATCAAGAAGTAATTTCACTGTAGATCTGACTACAGCCAAACATGGATCTGTAAAAAGTAAATGCCTGCCTCCTAAGATTGCACAACACGGCGAAAATGCGATTATATTGCTACTAGGGGTGTAACAATTCACAAAATTCATCATTCAATTTTATCCAACGCAGTTGTGTCTCGAAGCGATGCGGCAAAAATAAGGAGTGGCTGAAAATATGCATCACATTAAGATGTTAATGTCCATTTTTCAGTTAATTAGAGCATTCAACATTATAAAAGTACGTTTGAGAAAAGGGCTGTGCTTTATAGTGTCCCAGTCTAATGCTACAGCAAGAAGCTAATATGCTAGCCCCAAGCTATCACTCTAGCTACAAGCTAACATGTTAGTCATCATATAAAGATGCATCCAATATGCCACACAATTAAACAATACAACACAATACGCTGTATTATTATATCGTCAGTTATTTATTATTATTGAACTGTCCCTCCTGATGATGCTGCTGCTGCTGCATGAACTTAAGCTATCTAATTAACCATTGCTCCACCTGTTTTTCCCCGTTTTTGTATTCTACTATTTTATACTAACGCTGTTTGCTATCCGGTGTGGACCAGAGGAGGATGGGTTCCCCTTTTGAGTCTTGGTTCCTCTCAAGGTTTCTTCCTCTTGTTTTTAGGGAGTTTTTCCTCACTACTGTCACCATTGGCGATGCTCATGGGGGCTCAGACCCGGATTTTTCTGTAAAGCTGCTTTGTGACAACACCTGTTGTAAAAAGCGCCATATAAATAAACTTTGATTTGACTTGACTCGAAAGGATGAGATAAATACTGCATAAACACCTAATCTAACACACTAGGTAAAGCTAACATGCTAGTCACTATACAACAATACAATAAGACTGCAACATACTGCAACTGCAACACACCTTTCAGTATTAATGCTTTTGTACTGTGATTGGTCAAGATGCTCACAGCACACAGTAAAACTTACTGTGATTGGTTAAAGGCCTCTGCAATATCAGTACAAAGTCACCATCACACTAATGATTAAGAAATTGTATATTATGCAGCCCTACTGTCTGGTATATGTATTTGCCTGGAAATCAAGGCAACAGAGAAATAAAACACGACTACTGTTGACATGCACGTAGCAGCACACGTGGAGGATGCCGTCCAGAGAGCATCAGATCGTGACGAGGTTTTAAGAGCGTAGGAGGTTCTGAGGA